GAAAGAGTCCTAGATAGAAAAAAAAATTTTGATTAGATTAAATTGCTTTTCAGGAGCTGCAGTACAAGCGACTGGCTATGGTTTCATGTGTGTTGTGTTTTTCCTTGCACGTGTGAGAAGGAACCATCAGAGCCTCGGATCCACTTCATCCACTCATCTGTCCCAGCCTCCCCCATCTCGTCTTCATCCAGTCAGCCTGAAAAACTGCACCACTGGCATACAGTGACACGATGTAGAATCATTCAGCATCGCTGCTGTGTCATCACACACACGATATCCACGATATTCATTATATTCACAACATGAATGTATAACAGGAATTTCCTATTGTGTATTTTGAGATTGGTTTAGTGCATTGTGAGTCTGAATCTCACTCAGTCACCTCAAAATATATCAGAATTTTCCAATAATTAAAAATGGGACAAAAAGCCATATTTTGACCACACCTAAAGAGACATAAATGTACATTTTGAAAAGCAAAAGTAATTGGATGCATGGAAACATATGTCAGCTGGTTCACTCTGCTGGCAGTTTATTTTGCTCTCTTGTGAAAATGTGACATTATAATTAATGTCAGCGACATGCCAGCAGAGCAGTGCGGGGGAACTTTTCAGCTTGTTGCAACTTCTTGGCCGTTCTCGTGAAACCAGCAGTCACAGATTATTTCAAGTCACGGTTACGCAGCATTTCTGTGTATTTTTAACATCCTGAGTCATTCGTGCGACTTTGTTCCTGCCTAAATAGAAACGAGGAAGGGAGTCACCGTCCAGGGCTTACTGTTAAGATGAACACACCTCTTCTGAAATCTGTGAATTATTCGTTAGGTGGAATTTTTTTTTTTTTTTTTGTAGGCCTGCCGGAACAAATACAAAAAAAACAAGCGTCTCTGATTTAATAGGCCCGTAATAATAAAATACAACATCCTTATTGGTGTTAGGGAAATGACATCACTTTCAGCTCATGGAAATGAAAACTCGATGAGCTGGAAAATTAACAAAATGAAATAATTTTATTGGGAAATTTTCTTTGGGACTTTAATACGTTGAGCCTGTTGGTTTGGTCTGTGTCTTTCCTTTGTATTTGTATTAATTTGCAGTAAAAAAGTGCTTTACAAACTGGAGATGTGGGATTTAAAAGTAAACACTTGGGAGGGTGAATTTAAATACAGATTGTTTTATGAAAATTGCATAATAAACTAAATATATTTGACACCAATTTTGACTAGATAGTTGTTTAAGCATTTGTTTAAGTTGAAAGATGTATATTCAAGACAGCAGCAATTATTGACCTCAAATTTGTCTTTTTTTATCATAGAAGTTTCATTTATCTGACGCAGTGTGCAACTTTATGATTTCAAATACAAAAAAAAGCACTGACAATGTGCACAGTATAAATTCACACATGGCCCTCTGGATACTGGCTTTCGATTGCTGTGTTGATGGCTCTGATGCTCTCGGTGCTATACTCCACTGCCCACACATAGTTTGCCTGCCTCCCTGCTGGTGCGCTGGTTCAGTGGCCGGTCAGGAGAGCTCAGGTGCATCAGCACAGAAACCGAGGCTAGTGGAAGAACTGGCAACCAGCCAGACTACTATGGGAGGTCCTATGTTCTCCTACACAGGAACACTCATAGTAGCCACATTTCAGATGATAATCAGCCACAAAAAAAAAAACACTAAGAAAGTGGACAGTTTATGTGCATTTGGATTTTTTTAGTACCCAAGAGACGCATGAAGCTTAAGATTTGACTATTGAGATTTGCTGCTTGTAGAGGAGACACTTCTATAGGTCACACAATTTATATAAGCGTATCGCTCCTTGATCACAGAGAGCATTTCATAACCGCCCGAGGAGGCACCATCCTGCCCTGGATTGTGTTGATTTTGTTTGTGTGTACGTGCAGCTTAAAACTCATCCCATTGCTTCCATAACAAGTGCCATTTGACACACTGGTGTTTCTCTATTTAGACTGTAGTTCATGCATTCCCCTACACTCGATTAAATCTCACTTGTACGTGTATATGTGTGTGTGGCAGTTTGTCTCTATATCAGAGGGAGGTTTGTTGGAGGCAACTTTACAAAGTAGGGACAACTGGGTTTCAGTTATCCTTCCTAACACAGCGTGCATGACAGATCCAAATCTTTCAGAAATGAAGAGCATTTAGATATTTCAATGATTTAATGAAACGTTGTGTCACCTGGTTATGAGAAGTGCAGATGAAGTACTATCTACATGAGGGGATCCTCATATCTTTTGACCTGCACAATTCCTATGATTCATGCCTGGTGTCACGTAGCACTCAGAACATGCCTGTAAAGTTCAGGTAACCATATTCACCTGCTGTTAATAATGAGGCGGAGCAGCAAAATCCATTTAATAACAAATGATCACCACCTTCTTTTGATATCCTACACTCACCTGTCCCAATGACTTGTAGGCCTGACCCAGAATTAGTCCAGAGAGAGCAGAAGACACGCCAAAAGCACAAACGCACACACACATAAAGAGATCAGAAACACAGATGAGCACCTCGGATCTAAAGAGCCGAGTGAGGGTCACAAGAAAAACAGGTGATGATAATATCTTTAAACTAGTGGAGGGGGAAAAATAGATCAAAAATACCCTGATATCATATTCCTGTTATGAAAAGGTTACAAAGAGGAATTGCACCCTTAATAACCGTCTTTTGCAGGAGATTCGTGACCAGCTGAGAGATAGCGTGTGACTGTGCAGCCACGGTTACCCATACAGATAAAGGAGGATGGCTGTCGTGCACACAAAGACACCAGGTCTCATCGGTCATTCAGATGCCTGCACTTTCTTGGAAAGAGTGACAAGTATTAGGGAAGTTATTTGTACCCCCCCCCCCCCCCCCCCCCCCCCCCCCCCCCCCCCCCCCCCACCCTCACATGAGAGGGGAAATTCCATCTTTACACTTGTAAGTGTGCTCTTCACTCATTCACTGTTTATGTTTCGTTTCCCCTTTTAAGTTTAGGAGTAAAAAAAGAGGTTTTGGATTCATTTAATGTCTGTCATTTGAATAAGTGTATCATTCGCATGCAAGCATCAGGTGCTGTTTGGTCTGGCAGATAAAAACAGGTTAAGCCTCCCACACTATTTTTGCCCCAGTTTCTGTAAAAAGGCACAATCACTCGAGCTGCAGACAGAGTCCTCTGAAGTAACGTGAGAAAGGATTGTTGTGATTTCTGATCAGGTTTGGTACAAGAGTACAACAGGCTTGCACACTGTTGCGTGTGAACCTCTGGCTCACTGCCAGATGAGACAGCGTTAAGGACAGGTTGCATAAGAACTGAGGTATGTTTTTATTTTGAAAGAGTGTATGTCACGGAATATGGTTTAAATTAGAAATATGCCTGGTCAAGAGTCACGTAGGCAATTTATGTAGACAAGCGATGACACTGATGGTTTCCTGCTCTATCATCACCTTCTGGTGGTTAAGATAAGCAGGACACAGACAAAGTGCACGCATTAAAAGGGAACTAGGGCTGTGGAAAATAGTGCACAGAGTCTAAATCACAATGAGGCAATGGATACATTTAGGAAAGCTGCTATATTTGGGCTTTAGAAATATAAATTAAAGCTGTAAAGCCAAAACTATTATATTTGATACATGAGTTTTTGGGACCTTTCAGTGTGATTTTTTTTTCTTTTTCTGAGAAACCTGAACAAATTTTACAGTGACTTTTTAAACCAATACATTGCACAATATAGCAAAAAAAATCTTACAAATTAAAACCTATATATGGACAGTAACATTTAATTTATTATTTTTTAATAGTTAAAGGATTAAAATAAAAACTCCAGTTTAAAAAATATAAATGAGAATTTATGTCATGAACTATAGAATACATCTCATCAAGTTGTTTAAATCATGAAGACCAATGCACTATAGATGCTGAGTTCCAAAAACTGTGTAAATGTTTTGTGTTTTGTTGAGTCACTGTGATCAGATTCTTGATTGATTTGATGTATTTCATTTCAAGTAAATATCACTTGTACTATTGTACTGCTTGCAAATATTTGTATTTATATTTTGACAAATTGTGAATAAAGTTATAATCAAAGGTATTAGTAACTATTAATCGGGGGGAAAAGAACTATTATTGTCATTACAAAAAGCGAGGAATCTCATCTGCAACATAATGCTGGACGCAAGAATGCAATACCTCGTTTTAATGGCGCCATCGCGAGGAAAAACATCACAATGCCCAGAGCTCTTTGAGTAAGTCATTCGAAATACTAAGTGTGCATTGTATTTAATAAGAAAGAGCACTTATCCTCATGCTAGTGCACTTAATCATCATTAATAGTCACCTTACCGTCCCATTATGTCGTTTCCCAAAAGTCTTAGTCAGAGATTAGCGGTCAGAGTTATCACGACATGACTGAAAGAACAAGGAAGAACAACTGTCAGAAAATGATTAACTTAAAAAGGTTTATTTTGTTCCAAGAAAATATATTAATTATATTATTATTTGACTGTGGTTATTTAGCATTCTTTAAAAAAAAGAAAAAAGAAAAAAAAAGACCAAGTTTAAAATATATGAGGGTAAGGCTTGCAAGTTAAACTATCCACAGATTTAACTACACTTTTTGTATAATACAAACTACAGTAGGAAAGGCAATTTTGAAGTTCTGTATTTATATATTGTAATTACCCGCTAAGCACTTCCGGGAACTATCTGAAGGCTATTCGATTCACGTGACGATCATGTTCTTTTTAGTTTTCTCAAAAAATTGTTAACAATTAATACCGGGGATACATAAGAGGGAATAACTAGGGAGGAATATAATAATAATAATAATAATAATAATAATAATAATAATAATAATAATAATAATAATAATAATAATAATAAAACTTCATTCATTTGCATTTCATTCAAATTCAGGAGAAGCAGAAGTTGAATTAAGTATGTGAAGTCTCTCTCCATCCAACAGCTACATAGCAATGGATTGATGTTAATTAGAACTACAACTCCCATTAATCGTTTCACTCGGCAGCACTTCCGCAAACGACCAGCGTTTTGGCGTAGAATGATAGAGCACTCCTCTACCGCTGACGGCATGGCTGTGAAAGCGATTTTGTTTGATTTGGACAACACGCTCATTGAAACGAGTCGAGCAGGTGAAGTGGCGCTAAAAAAGGTAATAAAATAAAGAAATTATTCGCCTAGAATTTAAGTTATTTCCGTAAGCTAATTACAGTCGGTTTTTGTAAGTTTTACATGGAAGTGCGTAGACTAGTGACGTCTTTCAGTCAACCCAATGATACATTTATTTTACTGTCTTCAGTTCGGGGCTCTTTATTGCCTATTTTAACTAACTGAGTGGCTGTTATGGACGTTTGCGCTGCTGTTCCTGCCTAGTTTTCACTTTTATTGTCCGATTGGCAGGACCGCATACGGAGTCCGGAAGGGGCCACTATTCAGCTAATCACTAAACAGGCAGGGGCTCCGTTTGTCCTTCTTTCTAAAACTTTCGGATTGGCTAATCCTTGCAAACCAAAGTTTTGAACAGCTAGTGGATGGGTGTGCTCACAGACAGAGCAGTGCGTCTGAGATGACCATCCCCGACACTCACACTGTACAAGAGAATAAAGAAAGGGAGATAAAAAAAAAAAAGTTGTTTTATTATTTTTTTTGCTACAAAAGTTCCAAATGCCACTAAAGCATGGAAAAAGCAGGAAAAAAGCACATAATACATGTGAGGAACTAAAATCCTGTCGCACCTCAAAATTGCTTGTTTAGAGTACGAGAATACTAAAGCCCCTGCAACCACCTAAATAAATGCCCTTCTTTGTATCTTTGATTGTTCTTCAGCCACAGATGACTATTTTAATTTTTTGCATTTGCATAAAATGAAAAAAGGATTTTGGAGGCTAACATCTTGTGGTGAATTTCTGAATTTCATACAGACCAGTGAATTTTTGAAGACCACGCTGGGCCTTGATGACACCACCGTCTGCACCATTTGTGACAAGTTCAAGCAGAAGCTGTTCCATGAGAGTTTTGACTGCTCAGCTGGTCAAACCATAGATGATGTCCGTGCGCATCACTGGGAGGAAAGCATCAAGGAGACTGTAGGGAATTGCTCTACGCCTTCTTTGCCAGCTCAGTGTTATAACATGTGGAAAAGCAGTCGCCTGGAGCTTCTCACTCTGTCTCCTCAAGTATGCAACCTCCTGAAACAGCTGCGCAGCAGATACAAGCTGCTGCTGCTGACCAACGGCGTAGCCCAGACCCAGAGAGAGAAAGTGGCGACGGCTGGATGTGAGGAGTTCTTCGATGCCATTGTGATCGCAGGAGAACACAAAGAGCAGAAACCATTCCCCTCCATCTTCAGGTTGTGTTTCAGCATGCTGGAGGTAGAGGCTCTGGACTGTGTGATGGTGGGAGATTCTCTGGACACAGACATTCAGGGGGGCTTGAATGCCGGAGTTCGGGCCACAGTTTGGATTAATAGTGCAGGGGGGGGCGCGTCAGAGAAGCCAGACTACACTATCACTACTGTTCTGGAATTACCAGATATTCTGGCACAGCTGCAATAAGAACAACTGGTGAAGAGTGAATGAGTTTTACTTGAGATGTTGTGGGAATTTTTACCTATTGATATAATTGATTTAGATATGACTACTACTCCTATTAGTTTTCCAGTGTTCAACGAGGTGCATTTTAATTTGAGGTTTCTGGTTGGGATTTTAGACACCGTAATTTTGAACATAGAGTCTGTAAGAAAATGTGTGTTGAAGCTTCACTATTATACACATGAGGCAGTCAAAGTAATTGCATTTAGTTAAAACTCGAGTACAGTTAAGATACTTGTACGAGATTATTAAGCATGTTTTTGACATTGGCACTGTTGGGTTCAAGGCATTTCAGACTGATGCCCTATTGTAATCACGTTAAATTTTTCCATAGCACATGCATTTCTGTATTCAATTCAGTAATCACATTAGTTATAATTTATTCTTCAGTTACACAAAGTTACCTGCATGATGAAATAAAAACACGTGTATATAATCAGCTAATTTCAGCTTGTGTGCTGGGAGGAGTTAAATGGACTGAACTAAAGTGCTTTTATAAAACTTGCCTCATTCACCCATTCATACGAGCACTGTTTTTCTATGCCTTACCTATGTAAGTGCTTTCTATCTAACATTCACAGTGTCATACACCGATGGATTGGCAACTTGGGGTTAGTATCTTGCCCAAGGCGTGCAGACTGGAGCAGATGGGGACTGAATCACCAGCCGTCCTATTACTAGGTTACCTGCTCTTTAGACTTTTGAAAATTGGAGAACATGGACATTATTTTTGTTTTATTGCACAAAAGTACAAGAGTGTACAGGTAAAGTGCAAACTGTGTCCAGGACAGAAACAACTGCATCATACTGCTAAGACAACATCGTCTCATTGCGAGCATCAGCACATACAGCACGGCACGCCCACACAAACTAGCATTCAGGAAGCCAAGCAGATGTTAAAGCTGAGCAGCCAAAGCCTGCTCTTTAGTAGGTAACAAAGGCAGTAATGAGCAGTCAGCATTGTATCCTCCATTTCTACAGTAGAATCACAGTGCTGACCCATTCAAAGTCTTTTTGTTTAAACTTTGCTCTGCAGTCACACTTAAAACTAAAATAAGAGAATATTTATGTCCTCAATAGGCTGGGATTTGTGGGAGTGCAGCCTAAGGCTTGATTTAGACTTCTGCTTTGTAGAGCCTACGACATAAACTACGCAAGCGGCTGTCTTCATTGCAAGCGTTTATACTTGTGCCAGTGCAGTATGTGTTAATTACCATGTGGTTATGTTTTACATGCTGTATCAGTCAAGACACTGGGCCTTCTTTTCCTCCTGCATCCAGCTCTTCATTGTGGTGATTCCAATAGTTTGAGCAATCTCCCTCCAGGAATTTGCTGACATTTGCTAGTCCTTATATTGATGCTATTATTATTTATCCTTATACTGAGACGATTATTCTCTTACTAATAAATCCAAAAACCTCAACAAAGCAGTAGCTGGAAATGCACAAGAGGAAATGACGTACTGAACTGGTCGACAGTGTTTGTCGACTACTTCGAGCCAACGTGTATTTACAGGTTACACCAGTGGTCTCACTGAAGCATAAATTCCCAGTAAGGTTTATATAAGAGGCTGCTAATGTATTTAATGTCATGAATGGGATAACAAATTACTTTCTCCAGTGAGTAATGTAACGCATTACTTAAAAGTAATGATCCCAGCACTGTAGGCAACTCGCCTTTTATCCAGAGCTGCTCACCCCTCCCTCTTTTCCATTGTTGTGATAAAATAGTTTTAGACAGTTTTAATTTATTCTTATTTAATCAAGCTTGAAACAGTTTTGTTTGAAGAAAATACGATTTTATGGGAAACGGGCTCAGTGCCTTTACTTCATCCTGATCACTTTTACACTAATTTACTGTTAGTAGCACCTCAGTAAAGTATTAAGCACACATTATTCCCAAGGGGACATTTTCAGGACACTTTATATTTCCAGTGCATTTTGTGGTCGTGTGTGAAATTTTAGTCCAATGTGGCACTTTTAATATTTCATAATTTCTCTTAATGGATCTGAGTAGTCTTGACTTCTACTGTAGCAATGACAAATTAACCTGATACTGAACATTTTTATTCATCGCAGAAGATTGTCAACCCGTGCATCCCAGCATACACTGATACTTGGTCATGTTTATGGGGCTAATAAAACTTTTCATGGACATCATGTTATGTGTTTGTCTTCTGTTGGCACGCATGATTTGAGCAGCTTTATTGAAACCCGTCTGAACAAAGTGTGCAGGGTTGGCGCTTTAAGGCATGAATCTTTACATCCTATAAAATTCACTTGACTTCTAATTTGACTTTGATGTTCATTGCAGCAAGCTCAGCTACAAAGTAGCGGAAGACATAAGGAACAGACACTGAGTCAACAGAGTCACTTTTGCCACACAGGGTGCAGACAGTCTTACGGTGGCGCATGGATGACCAGTAGGGCGGCGGTTTCTCCAACAAAGGGGAGAGAAGGCTGCCACAGTCAACGCACACCTGAGCCACTGAGCGGTCTGAGCAGTTGAAGAGGCGATCGTGAAGTAAGAATGAAGAGCCGTGAGCCAGCAGGGCGTCTCGCTCCATCTCCCCGAAACGGATGCCTCCCTGCACGTTCCTTCCTCCTACAGGCTGGTTGGTCACTTTGTCTCGTGCTCCTGTCGTCCTAACTTGGAACTTGTCGGAGACCATGTGACGTAGCCGCTGGTAGTAGACCACGCCGATGAAGATGTCTGCCTCTAGCTCCTGACCGCTCAGTCCGCTGTACAGCCGCTCCGTACCGTAGTAGTTGTAGCCGCCCGCCCGAAGCAGCTCGCCAAAGTAATCGAGCGCCGAGTTCTCCTCGGAAAAGGTGAAGGGTGTGGCGTCGTGGCCGAGGCCATGCAGGGCGCCCGACTTGCCGGCCATGCTCTCGATGAGCATCCCAATTGTCATACGGGAGGGGAAGCCGTGGGGGTTGAACAGGATATCCGGAGTCATGCCGCTCTCGGTGAAGGGCATGTCCTCCGTCGGCCACAGGCGGCTCAGGATGCCCTTCTGTCCGTGGCGGCTGGCAAACTTGTCACCGATGGTGGGATTTCGGGGCATTCGTACAGTGATGCAGACGCGCTTGAAGCGGCCTGAGCCGCCGTCATTACTGCAGACCTTTATGTTGTCAACAATACAGGCCTCCTGACTCCTGAAAACAGAGAAGAGAAACCATAAAATGTGAATAACAGAGGTATTTTACAACTGAGCTGATGAAAAATGATCACACTGCTACAAAAATGTTATCGCGTACTTGTAGTAGGAGATAAAGGTCTGCCCAGTGTTGAGGTTGATGTAGCTGTAGAAAGGGTCTCCATACTGAAGCACCGATCCGATGAAGGGCAGTCCATCAGCGTCTAGTTTTTCTTTCACTTTGGGGTCGCCTGGCTTGGTTCCAAACACCACGCCGTCTTCTCCCTTCACCTTCTCTGCCAGGTCCACCAGCTCCGTCTTGTAGATACTTCCATGGGCAAAGCCTCTCTCCCATGACGACTTGTTCACAATCTGATGAAAACAACATGTGTCAAGAGTTCAACCCTATCCCGATTAAATATAGAGAACAGTTTCATTTAACTCACCATGGCATCTTCCATGTCGTAGCCTGTGTAGGATATGACGGCCACGATGGCGTTGGTGCCACTGGGGTAGTTGTCGAGGCCGTAGTGGTCATACATATAAGGCCTGACTAGTGGGCTCTGTGGGGTCTGGAGCCGGTACAGCTTGTTATCAGAGCGATCCATGAAAGAGTGTAGCGGGAAGCCCATAGTCTGCTTACCTGAAATAAGCGGAATGAGCACAGTGGTTCATGGAAAATGTGGGTTTGCTCAAAACTGTCAAAGAAAAGATTCAAATAACCTACCCATCTGACACTGGTACATGTTCCTGGGACTCTGGTTGTGGTCCGAGTATGGGATGAAGTTTGCCACCACACTGAGCATACTGTGAGGGAAGAGCTCCTGGTGTGTGGTTACTCTTGGTTCAATCTCATTCTCCAAGATTCCGACATTGATGTAAAGCTGCAGGCAAAGGAGAAAAGGTGCTCGGACTAAAACGGTGCTCTTACAGCTACAAAAAAAACCTCCACTTTTAACACATTACCTGTTCAAAGGTGCCAATCAACTCTTGCTTGCCAAAAGCCAAGTTCTGTACAGGCCGCACCATGCGACAAGGTGTTGTGAAGAGGAACAGGCCTGGATATAAGCTGGCCTTGCCTGTTTTGGGAACCAGGACAATCTCTGTCCAGGGAGGAATCTTCTTCTCTCTTAACACCTGGAGGTATAAGTTTTAAAGATCAGTTTTCTGCACAGTATACACAGGTGACACCAAGCAGGAGTTAGTATACCGTGAACCTGCAACAGACAGTGCACAAGTGAAGTGAAGAAGAGAGTGTAGGCAGGGTAGAGTGGATGGAGACCAGTGTCAGAGGTGATAGCAACAAGAGCAAAAGGGATTTAAGTAGGTAGCAAGACCTGCTCTGATGAACTGACAAAAAGAGGTGGAGCTTATGTTATCATAGCTTTTCATTGGGAGAGACCAGGATGGAGGCAATGAGAAATTAATATAAACGAAGAGAGGCAAAGCTGAGATGGTTTGGATGTGCAGAGGAGGGACAGTGGATATACCAGACAAAGGATGTTGAAGATAAAGCTGCCAGGCAGGAGAAAAAGAGCAAGAAAAGATTCATGGATGGACATGCAGAGGGCCGATGTGACAGGGGAGGATTCTAGGGATGGAGGCAGATGATCCACTGTGCTGCAGCTAAAGGGAGCAGCTAACAGAAGACAATACCTTGAACCTGCGCAGTGATTCAACCACAACTGGAGCCAAGTCAGCCTCCACCCAGCCAACAACAGCACCGTCCAGGACCACAGGGTAGCAGTCTGCGAAGGCCCGACCAGGAGTTCCATCCACTGGAGTGACACCTAAACGAGCAGATACAGCAAACGCATTTCAACCCAGTGCCACGTGCAGAGACTTTACCTGGCCAGGCCTACGAAGTATATCAATGACTGCCTGAGTTAATCTTTTATTTCAGCATTACTTTAATGACGTTTCCCCACAGGCAGGTCACTGTTATTGGAATACCTTAAAAAAGTATTATTTAACAATTGATTCATGAAAGTATTGCTATGTCTCTCATTTGCACACACACGCGCCGACCTCTCCACCCTAATTGTCACAAATCTATAGAGTCTAGTTCTGTGGTAGACAATGGACTAGCTTTTGGTCCTGGGTAAGATTGTACAACAACTGCCTGAAGTCAGTCCTCACCAAGCGAACAGAGCAGAGCAGGCAGTGACGTGGTGGACAAGGTCAATGCCACAATTTCACAGCTGGCTGTCATGTGGTTCATGAGTCCGCAAGGCTCGCCGTCTGGAGTGTGGACAGGACACAGGAAGCCCCAGGACTCGGGCAGCAGCTTACGCACAGAGGTGGTCCTCATCTTAGCAAACGCTGCTCCTCTGTGCACGCAGCGGAAGTGAGACAGGTAGCGAATGAAGTTGAGCTTGTCAGCTACAACGCACAGCCCGGTGTTCTGCAGCATGCCCAGACCTGTGGGAGGAGGGAGCACATTTTTAGATGAATGAATGAATGTTTTAGTGAATTTTCAAAGCTGGCCATGTATTAGTCTTGGACAGGACCTGTCTTAGACTGGAGGTTTCCAGTGGCCAGCAGATATTCAAATGGTCTGGTCAAGTCAGTTCCCATGTTGAGCATCTTTATCATCATTTCAGAGCTCCATCCTCCGGTCACTTTGCTGCCTCTCTTGTCAAAGGACAGCTTCACAGACACCAGCCATGCAGTCAGTCTCTCCTGCGAAAACGTTTGAGTGGTTAAATCACACAACTGAAGGCTTAAGTGGAAGAAGACACTTTGTGTGAGCACTGTGGAAAGTGTTGGGAAGGTTACTTTTAAAATGTATTCCACTACAGATTACAGAATACATGCCCCAAAATGTATTTTGTAAGGTATTCCATTACATTACTCAATGACAGTAACGTATTCCAAATACTTTGGATTACTTAATATATTATCATGCTTTTTACAACTACATGAATGTACTACTGCTGTGTGATTTATTACTATTACTGAAGGCTACTCGCCATAATGGCTTTCCACCGGCGTGGAAATACCAAAAGAGAGCACAGTCTAACAAATGAATCAGGAAAAGACCGCCGTGTAATCCATTTATTTCAACAAAGTAACTGTATTCTGAATACCACCTTTTTAAACGGTAACTGTAATAGAATACAGTTATTTTAAATACATAATGCCGGTACAGTGGTCCCTCGTTTACTGCGGGAGTTATGTCCCAAAAATAACCCGCGATAGGTGAAATCCGCAAAGTAGCCAACTTTATTTTTTACAATTACTATAGATGTTTTAAGGCTGTAAAACCCCTTACTACACACTTTATACACTTTTTGCAGACAGGCATGAACATTTTCACACTTTCCTCTCTTAAACGCTCTCAAAGTTCAAACCTTCGTAGAAAAATAAGTCCAGTATTACAAAATGAAGGCAAAGGAACCCGCGGTTGCCTTTGACGGTGCAAAACGTCTCGTCGACATTGTGTTTGTTGGGGAGAAAAGTTACAAACATACAGTACAGCACACTGCTAGCAATTGAAGA